TAATCCTTTAGGGTTTTTTGGGCCTTATTTACAATTGATGAATTTCTCAACAAATCGTCATTCATTCGCCATCTAAAGGAACCCTGAACAAACATTTTCAAGTCCATAGAAACTGCATTATGATCCGAGCAGGTTTTAGGGCAAATTTCCGTTTTTGCCACTTTAGGAACCAAGTCTCTGGATATCCATATAGAGTCTATTCACAAAAATACTTGGTTTGCATCTGAAAAAAAAGTGAAGTCTCTTTCCATTGGGTTTCTAATTCTCCATATATCTGACAGATCAAATTTTTCAGTTAGATCAAAGAAAGTCTTCGGTAGTCTGCCAGAGTTCGTAACCTTTGATCTCTGAGTTCTGTCCCTCAAGGTAGATGCAACTCCATTCAAATCCCCTATCAAGATAATTTTATAATCCAAGTAATCCCTCATTACAGTCGATCAGGTATATGAAGACGAGCAGCAAAGTCAGTCCTCAGGGAATGTGCAGGCGACCTTGGAACGGACAGCTCACGGAAGAACCCCGACCAAACCTAAGAGGAGGTGTGTAGTGGTGATAGGGGATTCCCTACTGAGGGGAACAGAAGCAGTGATCTGTGGGCCTGACAAGATGTCTCAGGAAGTGTGCTGTCTCCCCGGGGCTAAGATCCAAGATGTAACTGAACGACTGCAAGGAATCATAAAACCCACTGACAAATACCCCTTCCTCTTGGTTCATGTGGGAACCAAAGACACTGCAAGCAATAGCCTCCAGAAGATCAAAAGAGACTATGAGGCTCTGGGCAGGAAATTGAAGCAATTAAATGCACAAATTGTCATCTCCTCTGTCCTCCCAGTTGAACGACGTGGCCCAGGGAGAGAGGGAAAAATAGTGGAAGTGAACAGCTGGCTTCGCAAATGGTGTAAACAGGAACGGTTTGGATTCTTAGATCACAGACTGCAGTTTCTTGAAGATGGACTTCTGGCAAGCGATGGGCTGCACCTCACAACAGTTGGGAGGAATGTTTTTGGCAAAATCTCAGAAACCTCATCAGGAGGGCTTTAAACTGACTAATGTGGGGAGGGAGACAGTGCTCCTGAAGGTAGGAGTCTATCAATTGATGAAGATGATCATCCAAATGTCATAGACCAAATGGAGCAAACAGCACGCAGACCTAGTGGTGGGAGGAAAAAATCCTTAAATAAGAGACACGGGGAATGATTAATGGACTTCAATGTCTGTACACTAATGCGCAAAGCATGGGAAATAAACAAGATGAGCTTGAGCTCTTGGTACAGCAAACTAAATATGACATAATAGGCATCACTGAAACCTGGTGGGATAAGTCCCACGATTGGAATGTAATAATGGAGGGATACAATCTATTTCAGAGAAACAGACCAGACAAGAAAGGAGGAGTGGCGTTATATGTCAGGGATGTGTATACCTGTGAAGTGATCCAAGATTTAGAACCTCAAAGCCAAAGTGAGAGCATTTGGGTCAAAATTAAGGGAGAGAAGAATAACAGTGACCTCATTGTGGGAGTTTACTATAGATCCCCAAGCCAAACGGAGGACATAGATGATGCCTTCCTGGAACAGATGGCCAAGCATGCAAAAGGAAGGGAGATAGTAGTAATGGGGGACTTCAATTACCCGGATATTTGTTGGATGTCAAACTCAGCCAAGAGCATAAGGTCAAACAGATTCCTCACTGGCCTTGCAGACAACTTCATTGTCCAGAAAGTGGGAGAAGCAACAAGAGGAACAGCCATTTTAGATCTGGTCCTAACCAATGTTGATGACCTGGTTAGTGGGGTAGAAGTGGAAGGATCATTAGGCGCGAGTGATCATGCTCTTCTGAAGTTTACTATACAGCGGAAAGGAGCAGCCAAACATACTAGGACTCAATTTCTTGACTTTAAGAAAGCCGACTTCATAAAACTTAGGGAAGTGCTGGGTGAGATCCCATGGACAGTAATACTAAAAGGAAAGGGAGTTCATGATGGCTGGGAGTTTGTTAAGAGGGAGATAGTAAAAGCACAACTTCAGGCAATATCAATGAGAGGGAAACATGGAAGGTGCCTAAAGAAGCCAGGGTGGCTATCTAAAGAACATTTAACTGAGTTAAGAGTAAAAAAGGATGTGTACAAAAAATGGAAAAGGGGGGAAACCAGCAAAGAGGAATTCAAACAAATAGCCAGCACGTGTAGACACAAAGTCAGAAAAGCTAAAGCACAGAATGAACTCATGCTTGCTAGAGAGGTTAAAAGCAACAAAAAAGGCTTTTATGGGTATGTTCATAGCAAAAGGAAGAACAAAGAAACAGTGGGATCACTCAGAGGAGAAGATGGTGAAATGCAAACAGGGGACACAGAAAGGGCTGAACTCCTCAATGCCTTCTTTGCCTCAATCTTCTCCGATAAAGAAAACAATGCCCGACCTGAAGAATTTGGAGCAAATGATTCAGCAGAGGAAACACAGCCCAGAATAACTAAGGAGATAGTACAAGAATACTTGGCTAGTTTAGATGTATTCAAGTCTCCAGGGCCAGATGAACTGCATCCAAGAGTATTAAAAGAACTGGCAGATGTGATCTCAGAACCACTGGCAGTCATCTTTGAGAATTCCTGGAGAACAGGCGAAGTCCCGGCAGACTGGTGGAGGGCAAATGTTGTCCCTATTTTCAAAAAGGGCAAAGAGAGGACCCAAATAATTACCACCCAGTCAGTCTGACATCAATACCAGGGAAGATTCTGGAGCAGATCATTAAGCAAACAGTCTGTGAGCACCTAGAAAGGAATGCTGTGATCACCAATAGTCAGCATGGATTTCTGAAAAATAAGTCATGTCAGACTAACCTGATCTCGTTTTTTGACAGAATTACAAGCCTGGTAGATGAAGGGAATGCGGTGGATGTAGCCTACCTTGATTTCAGCAAGGCATTTGACAAGGTGCCCCATGATATTCTTGTAAAGAAGCTGGTAAAATGCGGTCTTGACTATGCTACCACTTTGTAACTGGCTGACTGACCGAACCCAAAGGGTGCTCATCAATGGTTCCTCTTCATCCTGGAGAACAGTGACTAGTGGGGTGCCACAGGGTTCTGTCTTGGTCCCGGTCTTATTCAACATCTTTATCAATGACTTGGATGATGGACTCAAGGGCATCCTGATCAAATTTGCAGATGACACCAAACTGGGAGGGGTGGCTAACACCCCAGAGGACAGGATCACACTTCAAAACGACCTTGACAGATTAGAGAACTGGGCCAAAACAAACAAGATGAATTTTAACAGGGAGAAATGTAAAGTATTGTACTTGGGCAAAAAAAATGAGAGGCACAAATACAAGATGGGTGACACCTGGCTTGAGAGCAGTACATGTGAAAAGGATCTAGGAGTCTTGGTTGACCACAAACTTGACATGAGCCAACAGTGTGACGCGGCAGCTAAAAAAGCCAATGCAATTCTGGGCTGCATCAATAGGATTATAGCATCTAGATCAAGGGAAGTAATAGTGCCACTGTTCTGCTCTGGTCAGACCTCACCTGGAGTACTGTGTCCAGTTCTGGGCACCACAGTTCAAGAAGGACACTGACAAACTGGAACGTGTCCAGAGGAGGGCAACCAAAATGGTCAAAGGCCTGGAAACGATTCCTTATGAGGAACGGATAAGGGAGCTGGGCATGTTTAGCCTGGAGAAGAGGAGGTTAAGGGGTGATATGATAGCCATGTTCAAATATATAAAAGGATGTCACATAGAGGAGAGAGAAAGGTTGTTTTCTGCTGCTCCAGAGAAGCGGACACAGAGCAATGGATCCAAACTACAAGAAAGAAGATTCCACCTAAACATTAGGAAGAACTTCCTGACAGTAAGAGCTGTTTGACAGTGGAATTTGCTGCCAAGGAGTGTGGTGGAGTCTCCTTCTTTGGAGGTCTTTAAGCAGAGGCTTGACAACCATATGTCAGGAGTGCTCTGATGGTGTTTCCTGCTTGGCAGGGGGGTGGACTCGATGGCCCTTGTGGTCTCTTCCAACTCTATGATTCTATGATTCTATGAATGAGTAAGTTAAGTTAATTTGGAATATGCAGAAAATATAAAAAATAAATTTAAGGAACCGCAGAAAGAGGGGGAAGGAAGTTGAGTTTTGAAATGTTGAAATGATTGTAAAATTATTGAAATGTATAAAACTGAAAATCATAAAAAGAAGTCTCTGTGACAAATGCATTTTCTACTTCAATAGTGATCCTGTTAGAGGTGCCAGTATGAAGGGTAGTATACAAGTTTAACAAATAAATTAATTTTAAAATGTTACTGGCAGAAGTGCCTCTCCGTTGCACAGGTGGCTAACCACCTGGATAGAAAGCAGCCACTTCTAACTGCATCTTTAACACACGTAGGAATGTCATGGTAAGATGTTTTGGGCATCTTAAAGCTTGCTGAAGGTGTCTCACTGCCTGCCACGGCCTTGAGGAGAAAGCAGGTGCAGACCATGAAATAGTGTCACCGCCAAACGAAGAGGATTACAGAGCACATAATAACCAGCTCACAGGGGAAGGGGAAAATGGTGTGGTACAATTTCTCAGTTTACGCTGGAGAACCATCTGCAGCAGCTTCCTAATTTCTATGGTTTTAAGCTTGTTTGATGTCATAACTGTATGCATTGAAACTGTTTAGTTAAGAGTTGTTAACATGTTGCTCTAGTTTTGAGAGTACAGTGGTACCTCAGGTTACAGACGCTTCAGGTTACATACGCTTCAGGTTACAGACTCCGCTAACCCAGAAATAGTACCTCGGGTTAAGAACTTTGCTTCAGGATGAGAACAGAAATTGTGCTCTGGCAGCGCGGCGGCAGCGGGAGGCCCCATTAGCTAAAGTGGTACCTCAGGTTAAGAACAGTTTCAGGTTAAGAACGGACCTCTGGAACGAATTAGGTTCTTAACCTGAGGTACCACTGTACTGAAGCCATTCCAGTTTAAAATCCTCATCAAGTAAAACGTTTACTGAAACAATGATTATTGAGCTGGGATAGCTCAGTCATTAGAGCATGTGAGTTAATCTTAGGGTTGTGGGTTCAAGCCCCACATTGGGCAACAGATTCCTGCGCTGCAGGGGGTTGGACTTGATGGCGCTCTTGGTCCCTTCCAACTCACAATTCTGTGGTTCTGTGACTTCTCTTTGTTGTGTATTCCTGGATTTCTGCTTCTTCTGGAAAACTGGTAGATCAGCCTTACAACAGAGCGCCATGCTTCCTAAACACTGCACCCATGTGCTCAGAGACCTCAGCTAACTGCAAAGTAATAGTGGCCCTGAGATATCAATGAGAGCCATCTAGTCACTACATAGATAAGACTCTCTCCACACACAGAGTCAGTCAGTCAGGAGCGGAAGAGTAGAAGAGCAGTTTCCGCCCCCTCCTTTCTCAAAACATCAGATCAGGAGATTCTTGCAGTGGGAGGGGGTGAAAATATCAACACTCTCCACACCCCATTTGAGGCTTGTGTTCTATATTTAGTGTGGAAAATACCTATTAGATAGGAAATACTTTCACCTCCCAATCACATACGGACTCAATTTCAATACTGCATCTCTTTAGTAAAGACACTGGAAGAGACTCTTGCTACTACAGTACCAAACATTGCTGACACCGCAAAACCTTTGTCAATGCCATTCTCCTTTACATCACATTCTATAGTAGTGAATTCCACTTTATGGCTACAAAATATGGTGAGGAGGACACCATGTAATGATGGATAAACTCCCCTTGGCTCAGTCTGAAATTGGCTTGGCACCCAGAATACTGAAATATCTGTGACTTGTAACCAGAGTTGCCATGTTGATGGCATCCTTTCATTATATAATATTAAATTGTTCCCAAATGAAATAAAACAAATCCATCCTGGAAACTAATCAGAGCTCAGGCAGAGCTAAGCAAACCTCCTTTGTCGTCACCAAGTGTGATCTTTTATAGGCTCCGTAAAACTCCAGAGCACCGGAGGAAAGGGAGATGTGCAGCCCTCAAACTGACTGACCCCTAAGTGACTTACATTTTATACAAAGATATTTCATATGTACTCTCTGTCAGCCTTCCCTTTCTTCCAGAAGTGCCTAGCCCTTTTCAGTCTGAGGGCTGTATGGTGGGCCTGGCCAACTCACATTCTAGTGCATGTGGAAAGACAACATGCTCCCCAGGGCCACTGTTGTGTGCTTGCAGCAGTGCCTCTTCAGTCCTCTTTCCCTTTCATTTTAGAAGGGCAAAAGTCTTGGTCCTAAGCATTTTGCCTGGCCATCCTGCCTGACCCAGGCTACCTCCACTGTGCCTTTAAAGCTGCTAAAGGTTCCTTCTGGCTGCACTTAACTTTGTTTTCCTGGAACGGTCATATCACATCAAGCCTCACTGAGTGCCATGGGGAGGAAAATCGCTTCCACTCCACTGTTCAGATGATGCCTCTAAAGAGGGCACCCTTTCCCTCACTATAATGGTGCTGAGAGGTTTAAATCTCTCTGTCCAGCCCAGCACTATGACGTTCTCTTCTTCCTTCTCCTCTTCTTCATGGAGGAGAGAACCTCTCACCTGCTCCGATGTTTCCTGAATTGACTTGGAACAGGATTTCTTGGGTTATTAGGTGTGTGGTGGTGTACAGGTTGCTGCAAATGCACCGTGTCTCAGGACATGGAAGAGGCAGTGGCATGGTTCACACGTAATGCTAAGCCAAACCATGGTTTATCTTGAATAAGCAAATGTGCGGGTTCCAGGCTGAAGATGAGAGTGCCAGACCTGCCGCCGCCCCACTGCCTAGGGTGAAGTCGCGGCTTGGCTTGGAGACAGGTTTGAAGGTGATTTGCTAAACAACAGGCAGCAATACAGTAGTACCATTATGCAGGTTTACTTGGAAGTAACTTCCACAGAGTTCAATAAAACCTACTTCCAGTGGTATGCATATAATTACTAAGGAAGGCTGCTGTTGTGTTTCTGAGTGATGTCACCAAGACAACCAGTTTTAGGAACTGAGCATCACAGTCTGGAATGAAACTATGAAACTACATCAACCGTTCAAACGACCCACCTTGGCAGCGGATCAATGATAAGTGTTTCACCACCTTGCCTGCCGGGCAGACTTAAGCACAGAGACCTGATGAGGTTCCCTGTAGTTCTCTTTGGTTTAATTATCTAAATAATAGCGCACTACAGATGTTTGTGTGTTGTTGTGTGTAAAGTCTCTTGCCATTCTAATGGAGCAGCTGTGATGTAATACAAGAGGGGGGCAGAGGCTTGGCTCCTCGGCTGGTGGACTTGGCTGAGCAGCCCGGATGTCACAGACAGGCTGAAGAGCAAAGGAGAGGTGAGTATCAGGGAACCCAGTCTTGTGAAATGGTTAGGAAAGGTTAGCTAAAGCAGGGAGAGCCCTGGGGCAAAAAGGACAGCACTTTTAAACAAAGACTGGCAGAGAACGCAGGGAGGGCTGCAAAAGGAGGAGCTGGTGGGTGGGTCAGGAGAAGTGGCCGGTGGGGGGGGGGGAGGCTTCTGAAAAATATACCATTTACTTTAATTTCAGACTGATATTTTTGAAGCCATGAAAACACTTTGAAGGAATCATTTGCCGCTGTTTGTTGTATGCAATAGTATCTTGGGGACCCTCTTCGATTCTGGGGTTGTTTTTTAGTCGTGTAGTCGTTTCCAACTCTTCGTGAACCCATGGACCAGAACACGCCAGGCACTCCTGTCTTCCCCTGCCTCCTGCAGTTTGGTGAAACTCAAGTTAGTAGCTTCGAGAACACTGTCCAACCATCTCGTCCTCTGCCATCCCCTTCTCCTTGTGCCCTCCATCTTTCCCAACATCAGAGTCTTTCCAGGGAGTCTTCTCTTCTCATGAGGTGGCCAAGGTATTGGAGCCTCAGCTTCAGGATGGTTTGATCTTCTTGCAGTCCATGGTACTCTCAAGAGTCTCCTCCAGCACCATAATCCACCTGGAGCAGGAACCGGCAAGCCACTCCAGTATCCCTGCCAAGAAAACTCCATGGACTCTGGGGTAGGGGTTATAATTGAGGTCTTTTGACCAAACTAACATGGCCAGGCTCAGCAGCCAGCATCGTTGCAGGAAGCACAACTGAATCTTAACAACCTTTTGGCAACACTGACATACCTGCTCTTGGGAGCTGCTCCAAATTTATGCTTAAATTTCTAATTGCACCTGTAGATCAGCCAAGCCTTGTGTTAACTCTTCCTGTGTAATTTTTATTGATGTTCCTTTGCTGGCGCCAGGCTGTCCCTGTTCCACTAGGCTTAGATGATTCCTTAAGGAACCCAGCTTGGCAAGACATGGAGCATAATGAAATGCCCAAGGGACTCTGTAGCACTCTTGCTTGGGGAGGCGGGGCCGCTCTATGTGGGAGGCTCTGCTGCAGAAAAGAAGGGAGGAGAAACCTGGGTAAGATGGAGCGAAAATGCTTGTTGTGCCTTTCTGCGTGCACTCCAGGGGTGGGAACAGTTTTCTATCTCCCTTGACGTCTCTCTGGCTGTCAAGCATTAAGTGCAAAACACTGTATGCATGAAACATACACTCCTTTTTATGAGTTGCACGACTCCTTACTCAGAGGACCCCTGACTTCTAGGTGGCATCCTTAAAATAAAACTGTGTTCTGTGCAGTTCTGCAAAATTTATGCAGTATCTCCCACTCCAAACTCTTTTGGACATGTCATAATCTTCCTGAAAATGATGAAGGCTTCATTTATTTCAGTTTGCCTTCTCCATTTGCGCTCATTTAAACAAAGATGAGTTGAAATCTAGGACACATCTTGCATCTAGGGGACAAAGAAATGCATGTCTGAGCAGAATGTCACCCCAGCTCCTCCCCTGGCAATAGCAGACCCTCCAAGTGTCCCTGTTTTCCAGGGACAGTCCTGTATTTACAGAAGCCGTCCCAGTTTCTGATTTGGTCCTGGAATGTCCTGCTTTTCCTTAGGGTGTCCTTATTTTCATTGGAGAAATGTTGGAGGGTATGGTAGGATGTCCGTATTTTCATAGGAGAAGTGGGATGGGATGGAGTTATGTGACCCTCAAGCCAAGGAGATAAGCAACTACACAACCTTTAGAAGACATCTGAAGGCAACTCAACACACACCCCTCTATTTCCTACTTAGAGTAGTTCTTTTACATTTATGTAGTTATGCATTTTGGGCAGTATCCAAGTAACACGTTGTGTCTGTGCAAGTATTTATGCTTGTGCAACAGAGCACCCTCCCACCTTTTCATTCTCTCTAGCGTTCTGTGTCTTCCCCAAATCGGCTTGGGATGTTGTGTTGGGGGAACTGCTAGAACAGATTTAGCAGGCATGCAGGGGAGGAAGAGAATTGCATCAGAGAAATACGTGCACTGGCGGGACCTATGAGTTGGGTACCTCTTTGTTTGTGTGCCACCTGCTTACCAGAAATTGTCTAGAAAAACAATATGTGTTGATTTACCAGATGTCATGCCAGAACTACTATACAATTATTTTATTTATTTTATTAATTCAGCAATATTGATGATTGTAGAAAAAATTCTAAGCAGTTTACAAGAAGTATTAAGATTATAAATAAAAAATTTAAAACTTTTAAAAACAATTAAAATTATCAGTAAAAGAGAATAAAACACACCAACATATATGTGTCTGGATAGGCTTGCTTAAATAAAAATGTTTTAAGCAGGCAGCAGGAACAGAACAGCAAAGGCACCTCCCTGATGTCAGTTCCTATGTGCATGGGCCACCAGACTAAAAGATCCATTTATTACAATTGTGTAGGATTGTATAGCACTTGCAGCAGTGCCAGTTCCACAGTTAAACAATCCTGGGCACTGCAGTTTACCCCTCGCAGAGTTACAATGCCCGGCAACCCTTAACAAACAACAGTGCCCAGAATTCTTCAATGCAAAAAAATGTGCTTTAAAGGTGTACACAGGTCTACACAGCTTGGATTGGGTAGCCAACATCTGAGCTCTTGTGTGGAGGGACACTCTGCAATGATTGAAAGGCTTGAAGAATATTTTGACACTCAAATTGGTACCACCATGAGTTGTCATGCTCCGTAATAAAGTTGATGTTACTTAGCTGT